ATCCAGCTTAAGTGTTACCAGCTGCCCCAAGCAGTTATTGAAACACTCTTCTGGGCCCCTGAGACACTTGTGTGTTCCTCGGTGACAGTGCATTTCACATCGCACTGAATAATCTCTATCTCCCTTTCCAGATTTTGAGATATCTGTTTCACTGTCATGCCCTTAGCACTTAGCACAGCGCTAGGCAAATAGTAGGTATAAGTGTTTGTGGAATGAATGGGTGGATACAGTATGAATTCATACATGAATTCAATAACTAAACTTCACCCCAGAGTTAGAATTATTCAGGTTTTCCTTCTAATAATCAAATCATGATACTCAGTAGTAATATAGTTTTTATCTCCACATTCTAACAGAATGTGAGAATCTCTATATGTTTTTGACAAAGTGTCAGCCCATTCACCTCTGACCTCTCAGGTCTACTTTCAAGGTAAACTTAGAGACAAAAGAGTTACATGGATGAAATGAGAAAATTAATCTAAAATACCAAAATCCATTGAGTAATCTTAAATGAATTTTTACTACATTTACACATTACTTTATAAAAGTGCTGTTTCCCGAATCACTTGTTTACCTTGTTTTATAATAAGATCAGTCTTTTCAAGGTTTTTCTAACATTTAGAAACAAATCTTCTCCACTTTAGTTAATTGAGCTTTATACAACTTCAACTCATATATTTTTTAAGCTACAATTATTAGCGTATTTAATAACATATTTATTGCCTACTTCTTTTCTTTCCTACTCTCAGTTTCATCACAGTGAAAATGAGATATTTTGGTCCCTCCTCATTCCCATTGCCATACCAAATGGAAAATGTGAGCTTCCCAGCCACAGAGCAGTGAGGATCCTTTCACCATCACTCTCCCCCTCACCTGCATCAGGTATGGACCAATGGGAAATCACCTGGCTGCCCAGGGAGCATGCTTCCCTGCTTTTTCCATAAGAGGCAGAAAGATGTGGCTGCATAAACATTTTGTGTGCATAGAGAACATCACAAGAGAAGCAGAGAAGACTCAACATTGCAGCCAGAAAATTCCAAAGTATTGAATTCTTGAGATCCAGAGTGAGAAGGGATATTGCAGAGGTCTAACTCAAGCTTTTCATGTTATAGGTAAGGAAAACGAGGCTCAGTACCTAGTTAGCAGCAGAGACAGAATGAGCGCTCAAGTCTCCTGACTCCTGTTCCCATGCTCTAGCCACCACACTACTCTTCTCCAGGCTCAGCCATATCCCCCTAGGGCCATACACACCAGGGACAACATAGACACAGTCCAATTAAGCATAGGAATGGAAGACGGTGATTCTTCCTTCAAGTAGAAGCCTAAATATTCACTGGCCATACAAACAGAGATACAGCAAGATCTACACTTATGTATTCAATGAAGAATAGAAATAAATCACAATTTTTAATTCATATCAATCCAATGTACACTTAGTGAGCATCTACTATGAGCAAGGCTCATTGCTATGTGTTAAGCAACATTAAAAAAAAAAAAAAAAGGTGGTCCCATGCCCTTCTGACACATTAATACGGAAACAAAACTGACCATACTATAAATCATACTGTTGCTTGTGAGGTATGGAAATATAAGCAAAGTGTTACTGAGGCCCAGAGGAAAACACAAGTAACGCTGACTAGAATACGTGGAGTTAGAGTTAGGAGTTTGGTGAAGGCTTTGAAGAAGAGACAGCATTTTCATTGACTCTTAAATTGTGTCACATGATGAGAAGGTAGAGGTAAATCATTCCATAGACAGGGACTAACTTGACCACATGTACAAACCAGACTGCATGACATGTTCAGAGAATGGTAAACAGACAGACACAAATTACATGGGGAAAGAGTCACAAGAGATGATATTAGCAAAGTTAATCCAGGCAAAGTGATTTGTGAAAAGTATTGAGTGCTACCCTACAGACTACGAAGGGAAGTCTTTGAAGGATTCCCAGACAAGGAGTGACACTCCTCTCTGGGTTTTAAAAGGTAATTCTGCCATTAGTGTGTAGAATGGATTGGAGATGGGAGAAACTGGATGCAGGGAAGCAGCTTCAGATACTTTTCCACAAGGAAATCACAGTATAGAGAAGAGTTCCTTGTCATACTTTCCTCAGAGCAGTTTCCAAGCCTAACGACTCTCTTCACACCAGAAGGGATGCATTTCTCAAGCACAGAAAGAACAAGAGCCTTTTCTTGGACTCCCCCCTTGACCTACATGGGATTCCGTGAGTAGGACTTAAAGCAGCTATGTGGCTGCATGCGTGGAAGGGAGTGTGCTAAAAGAGCCCTAAACAACACTCTGAAACATACTGGAAATATACTGAGACAAAATGATATTCTCCAACTTTGTACCATCTCACCACCACTGCAGGCAGTATTATCACCAGTCTTCATTCAGTCTTACATTCACATACCAAACTGAGCCCTAACCCTGCTCCCAGCACTGTGCTACCACCTAGGACAGACAAAGGCAGGCAGGCAGCCATATGAGAGGAAGAGACTAGTAAGGAAGCCATGGAAATTATCTAGACGGGGAGACAAAATTCAGCTGTGCCAGGACAACAAACGCAGAGGCAATTCTGCTGAACACAAAGTTAGATCTGCTCTCCTTGTGAACCAATAAATCTCAGGAGTCTAAATCATTAACCATGGGAATGGAAGATGGACTGGTCATTTTTAAACTGGGGAGTGTGTGATGATCCATGGGTGGAAAAATAAATAGTATGGCCTCTACTTGTATTTAAGAGTCCGTGGGTGGTGCAAACAGTTAGCGTGCTTAGCTGCTAACCAAAAGGCTGGAGGTTCGAGTCCACCCAGTGGCTCCTTGGAAGAAAGGTCTGGCAATCTACTTCCGAAAAATCAGCCATTGAAAATCCTATGGAAAACAGTTCTACTTTGACCCATATGGGGTTGCCATGAGTGGAAGTCAACTCAACTGGTTAGATTGATTCTACTTGTGTTTACTCATTAATCTCACCCTTTTAAAACATTTACTTTGATATACGTCTTATAAAATAAAGTAATACACGTGAACCATATTTTTACATATACAATTTCTAAATAATTAAATATGCATATTTTGAAATCTGTATTTTAAAAAATATTTTCTTTTTGGTTGGGTTATGTGATTAAAAAAAGTTTGGAGACCATTATGACAAGCTATAGACCCATTTACCCACTAAAGGTCAGAACTTCAGTTCTACACAAAAAAGCATTTTACTGAGTTCAACTATGACTGACTTAACTAAATCGACATCACATACCTAAAAGTGAAAAAAATTGAGGGTGTGAAAAGGAGAATATCACTTTATGTTTTTAAAACATAAAAGCCTCCTTCATCTTGTATCTTCGTGTCTTTCTAAAAGTACTGACAGTGATTGTTTAGGAAGTAAGTAATTGTCTAAACCAAGTATTCTTCTTTAAAAACTAAATTTAATCTTATACTTTAAAACATATTTTAAAATAATTTATTCTCTCAAGGAAGCACTTTAAAAAAAATTAAATAACTAAACCAACCAGCCTGTAGTTTAAAATTTTACCAAGGTAGAAAAATAATTCTTGTGTCATTAAAAATGGTGTGCGTCACATTCATATTACACAGGCCATAATTTACTGTCAACTGGAGTTTTTGAGTAAAACTATGATACTACTTCCAGCCCTTGCGTATATATTTTTAATAGCATATGGATAGAAAAGGAGTGTATCTAGAAAAAATTTCTCCTGATTCTATATGAAAGTGCCCTTCATTTCTGTTGACTGGGGACCCCAGAACTTTTCCTACTCTGAGCTCCTTTTAATATTCAACCTTTTGAAGACCCTACTAAAAGTTCTCATATTGCAGATAATACAGATTAAATTCTCATTTGATCACGAATAGTTGTAATAAAAAACTAAAGGCTAATTTCCCTACAAGCTTTAATGTTGAAAATCCAGTTCAGTATATATTAACTAACAATCTATTACTCATACTCATACATTTCACAAAAATTTATTAAGTACCTCCTGTGTACCATGTACTGTGTTCTAGATACTGTGTGAGCAGGAGTAAAGAGATACAAAGATGTAAATTCAATCCTCTCTCCACAGAGGGGAAGCTCCAAGAAGGCTGGGGCTTTCCTCCAACAGAATGAAACACTGCCCTACTCTGCATCATCCCCAGCATTTGTTGCAGATCAGACCATTGTGATGCATACAGTTTTTACTGACTGATTTAGGAAAGTAGATGGCCAGGCCTTTCTTTCTAGTCTGACTTAGTCTGGAAGCTCCACTGAAACCTGTTCAGCATCATAGCAACACGCAAGCTCCACTGATAGATGGGTGGTAGCTGTCCATGAGGTGCACTGGCCAGGAATCAAACCCAGGTCTCCCACATGGAAGAGGGAAATTCTACTACTGAACCACCAATGCCCCCTGGCATTTGACAGGCCACGATAAATAATCCTGATTGCCTCCCACAAGGAGCTTACACCTAGTGGAGATGGGAAGTGAAATAGGGAAAAAAGAAACTCAAAATATTTTCAAATAATTACAATATTCTCATTCACATACAAGAATATCTGATAATTTCCATTTCCTTTCTCTCCCCACATAATGAAAATCTTATGTAGCTCACAGAAAGGTTTATACACACTGCAGTGAGCATCTATTTCTAATTTTATTTACAATACTTTCAAGGCTTGAGAAAAGATAATTTCAATTCATTTCAAAAATAACTCCCAGTCAATGTAAGAAAACTGAATTTTTCACACTTGTGAATTTTTTATTTACGTGATAATGAAGATGGTTTGGCATATAAATAATTTTCAGATAAACTTTGGTCTAGCGAAGATCCAGAGCTGGTATCTATTAACAAAAACGAAATGGTTTGCCTCAAAAAGTCAAAAATTAAACTCTCTTCCAAATAGATTTCATTTTCCCTTCTAGCTATCTTTAACCTAGAGAAGATGCAGCTGAAATCAAATATGAAACATAAACACTGGCAACATCTCTCACAGTACTTACTGATCCATACAGCTCCCCCTTCTCGTTCATTCCGAGGTAGAGTCCACTGTCCACGCCTCGAATGCTGACCAGGCCCACTGCTATACTGATAAATTCCAGAATGCCTATAGAACAAACGGGAAAAGACAGACAGCAAGTCAAAGCACAGCACATTTCCTTGGAATCTTAGCATCACAAGTAGTTTTTGAGAGGATATTGAGCCCAGCTCCCAACTTTGATAATCTCACACTAGTTAAAGAACTGTCTTCAATTTAAAAGAATTGCCTAAAAGAATTGATTTTTCAAATAAATTCTATCTTATAATAATGATATAAAATACTTGTCAAGATAATGACTTACATAACAGAAGAAATAATTCAAGAATAAAAAAGCTGGGAAACTAGATTAATGGAAATAGAACAAGCAGAACAGAAATATTAAGAATGTTCATGAAGAATATAACCAATGTCACTGAACAATTTGCATAGAAATTGTTGAATGGGAGCCTAAAATTCTTTGTAAACCTTCACCAAAAACACAAATATTATCTTTTAAATAGATTTTAAATAAAATAAATAAATAAGTTAGTATCTGCATAGATATGCCAAGAAGTGATAGGACAAATAAGCCAATATATTCTAATTAACCCAAAGAGTATAATTTAACAGAAAAGCAACCTATTTGCACTTTATAAATGTGAAATCAAGTATTTGTGTAAGGGCACATATCAGTAAAACATTCTATTGAAAAAGGCCTATCTCTCAAAATAAGAGCCCGAGGTGCTAACCAAAGCCTCGGTTAATTTATACAGAAAATTCTCCAGCCCTCTATTGTAAAATCTTACTGAGCTCCATCTGGAGAACTAAAATAGCCTACACACAACCTAAATATTTCTGCTTTAAAAAAGTATTGATTTTTGTTATACGTATCTAAACCTCAAAGAGATGGTTAAACAACTAACATAACATTCTGGGAGAAAAAAAAATGCTGATCCAAAAATGTTCTTGATTTAAAATACACATGAGTACTGTATCCCAAAATCAAATCAAAATAATGATCTTCTTTTAGTTCCTTCTCTCCCCTTGCTTACCTCACGAACAACACCTAAGCTGGGCAAAAATCCAGAATTTTAAGTCCACACAACGGCTTCAATTTCTCTAACTATATTGTTTCAAGATGACCATCACACAATGTACTTAGAACAAAGCTAATATTACTTGTGCTCAGCCATTTTCTCATTTTTGTTATAACGTAAAGTGTTACACTTTGTTAATGCCTAGCTAATATTTAGTTCTCATTTGAAAAATATCTTCAAATACTGAAAAAATTACTTACATTCAAGAGTTCTGAAAAAACTAAGGGTTACACTCTGCTATTGTCAGTCTCATGTGACTAATAAAAAAGCACTTACATGGATTTTTAAACAATTAATTTTGCAACTCACACAAAACATACTGTGTGGCAATCCACAGAAGACATGAACTACATAAACCTAATAAGGCAAAGGATTAAACACAAGAGAAAACTCTGCTCAAAGGTGATGTAAAAAGAAGAGATGTTTCTTACAAAGGGGTAGTCCTAATTCTTTTATGTGCACAAAATGCAACAAATACCTCATGCTTACACTTTACAAAATATTTTTCTGGAATGCAAATCCATTTATTTTAATAGGATGTGAAAAAATATACAGAGAAATTACAAACTATGTTTTGGATCTGATAATCTATGACTATATCATGGAAGATACATCTAAAACAAGCCAGTTTATTACTAACCTTCCCTATTTCACAAAACATATGAAGGATAAATAAGGCACTGTCTCTACATAATTCATTTCACATGAGATGCTCTCCCTTCTAAATGCAATCATTTTATTTCATTGAACTATATATAACTCTTATGATTCATATATGTGAATCTCAGCTACCTGAAGAAGCAGTACAATATAGGTCTTAGTCATCCTGAAATTAGTGTAAGAAGTTGATTAATGTCCAATTTTCATTATAAAATGAAATACAGGAAACATTCCACCCTATTTGAAGTCTAAACAATTTCATTTACCAGGTCAATGGGGAAAGGTTTACTCATCAGACTGAAAGATACTTGCATTCTCTAAAAGGGCATTTGATAGTCTTTCCATTTTCCCTAAACATGAGGCAGCTCTGAGAACTAATAATGAATATTAGCCATCAGACCCAACAAAGGGCAGGGACTAAGTGATTTTGCAAAATCATTTAACTGTCTGGTCTGCAGAACATCAAGAATAACAACAATGATAATAATAAACTCTAAAATACTTGCGCATTTAGTCTGTGCCAAATGAGAGGCCTGCTCTCATTTAATCTCAGAACAACCCTAGTCATTATAATATTTTAATCCCCAGTCTACATACGGGGAAATTGAGGTTTAAGGAGGTTAAATAACTTGCCCCCAAGCCATGTGACTCCAAAGCCTGTATCCTGAACTATTATGCACATCTAACAATTGGTTTTACTTTTCTTTTTCACTCCAGAAATTGCTTAATGTATCTGTGATTTCTGTAACATTTTTGTGTAGTTATGCCCTTACTAGTGACTAGAAAGCATTAACTAAATCAGACTGACTGCATTGCCCCAGTGAGTGGCACTGGAAGTAGGGGTAGGAAAAACCGCTGAGCTACTGGAACTGTGACCCTTCCACAGGTATCTTCAGGGCACACAGAGGCCAATCACCCCTACACTGCTCTCTCATCATGCAGAACTTGAGGATGCAAGCGTCTTCCTATCTAGACTACTTGCCTAAGTAAGTCATTTATGTGCACATTGAATGAAACCCGTTGCTGTCAAGTGGATTCCAACTCATAGTGATCCTATAGGACAGAGTAGAATTGCCCCCACAGGGTTTCGAAGACCATAAATCTTTATGGAAGCAGACTGCCACATCTTTCTCCCTAGGAGCAGCTGGTAGGTTTAAATCTACAACCTTTCAGTTAGCAGCCGAGTGCTTAACCACTGCGCCACCAGGACTCCTCTACTGCAGATAGCACATAGCTTTTTTCTGCTTAAAGGACTTAAGTTCTGAAATCAACTTAGTAATAAATACCTATTACTTAGGTGTTTAATACATGATATTAAAAGAAAGGATCTATTATTCCAAAACATGAGCATCTGTTTTAATTAACCACTATTCTACTACTGCAGCTGGCTATTAAAGTGTATTTGAAAGTAACCACCAAAGGGCATCTAAATTTTTGAGACAGAAAAGATACACATGAGCCAACTATGTTGCAATCAAGTTAGCCTCACTCCAATTCACAATGCAGTCTACCAAATGCTCTAAAATGCTAGAAAAGTAAATATTCTGGGTATTCATAACTGTGACTAATTCCCAATTTTTAAATTAAATTTGGTTTTGTCTTCAGATTCAAAAAATAACTATAAACGTCCTTTCTTTGAAAAAGAGAAAAAGTTTTCTTATGCCTCCTTCCCACATTCTTTGCATTGGTGGTCACATTTTGCCTTGAGCATCATCTGAAAAGGGGTCAACGAAAAGCACAACGTGCCTGACTACACCTCCTGGAGCAGTACAAGGGAACTGTCTGCTGGTGGCTGAACTTCGTCTGCAAGACATCCCACGAGTCCCAGATCCCATAACCACAAGAAATACATCTGATGTTACAATACACCTGCACAGGTGGAACCAAGGGAAAGACTGTGGCTGTCCCTGCCAAAGAAATGCACACAGTGGGGGAAAGGGACAGTGGGGGCATACTCATCCAGCAACTAAAGTTCCCAATTATTAAAAAGTAAGCATTGCTAGTTTGCTAATCCAGACTAAGTAACAAAAATAATTTAAAATGTATTGTACAGTGTTTAAAAATGGGACAGTTTGAAATCTGAAATTCCTTGGCTCCTTTCTCAAAACAAAGTATTTTATGAAAATTAAATGAGATAATAATCTAAAACACCTAGCACTGTACTTGAAAAATAGTTAAGATACAAAATACTGTTGTCATAATCATTATAATTTAGAAATGAAAGTATTACGATCTATCTTGGTTGTGTGTGTGTGTGTTTCCGGGCATTGACAAGATAGCTGCCATTTATATGTATTCATTTATTCATTCTGCAAACTATTATTGAGTGACTATTATAAGCCAAGCACGATGCCATTTATCAAGTACATAAAGATGAGTAAGATATAGCCTAGACCCTATACCCTCAAAGAGCTCACCATCCAGCAGAAGGTAAGGACAAACAAACAAATACAATAAAAACGTGGCAACTGCAATGAGAGGGAGATATTCAGGACATGGTTGGTGTCCAAAAATGGGAAGCTCCTTCAGGTTTGGGAAGGGAAGCCAGAGGAGGCTTCTTGAAAGAAATAATACCTGAGATAAGTCTCCAAGGACCTATTCATGGAAGAAGGAGCTATCTATTGACCCCAGGTAGAAAAGATTTTGTCAGCATCCATATCTCTGCAGCCTCTTAGAAAACAGAGACCTCAAAATCACAGCCCAGCTTTCTTTTGAGATCCAGCTCAGGGATCTGAGGGCAAATAGAACACCCTGATGCACAAGTCATGGCCATTCCACCACATACAGAGACAGCCAATGTTGAAGGTCAGAAAGACCTGGCAACATGATCCACCTCGCCCTGACCAGATTGAAATCTTTACCATCACCGGTAACATCTTGCCCACAATGAACTATATAAAACCTCCATCAGGTCAATTAACCTTTCTCTGGGCCTGAGCCTGTGCCAAGCAAGTGTTTCCAACTGTACTAACTTGAGTACCACCCACTACCCATGTTACTTGTTTCTCTGAATGTGCAGCACAGAGGGATGCTGTATCGGTAATAGGCCATGGAAGGCTTCTGTGTAGACTTTTAAATGTTTAACGACAAAAGGGAGAGGAAGGGAATGAAGGGAAGAGGAAAGAAGGGGTAGACCTCAACCTCGTGTACCATGGCAGCCAGTCTCTCCTCTTAGGCAGACACAACCTAGTCACCCTTAGCTGAGAAAGGCCACAGTCATGGTGAGTGATGGAATGACATAGGAAGCACGGAGTTAATGACTAGTGTTGTTTCTCTATTCTCTTCCACAGCAGCCAACAGTTCCGAATGAGGACATGATTGTTGAGCCCCAAAGGGTTTGATGAGGTCCGACATCATCCCTGGACAAGAAGACCAGGTCAGTTCCTGAAACTACTTCAGGAAAATGACCAGGAGGACCTTCCTCCTTGCCACTGACTCACAAGCTGTTAATAATCAGCCCAGTGCTGATGGGGCTTCCCACCTCTGCTCAAATGGACCAACTCCCCAAAGCCCATCTGAATCCGGCCTCCCTTCCAAGACCATAACACGGCCAACTGTGGAAAGTGGGAAGACTGTGGAAGCAGCGCCATTCTGGCCCCTGTTAAAAAACCCTCTAGCCTGAAAGCATCCAACATTTACAAGAGCTGCATTCTTCAGACAACAAAAATTTATGCAGACTGCAGAGAAAGGCATGACATGAGCCTTTCGAAAATAGATTATCAAACCCCCTCCCTACCAAGCTTCCTACTAATCCAGAGAATTCCACACCAGGGCTGCTGAATCAATAATTTCAGAGTCCTGGATCAGAGTAAATCAGAGCCTATAGCAACTTAAGCAAATCTCAAAGTTTACTTATGAAATGCTAACTTAATGGAGAGTTATAAGCCCTCCAATTTCTCAAGAATCTGAAACAATCCTAAACACAGCTCCTAAAATAGGCGGTCTTTCCTACAGTGAGATATTGAAGAACCAGATACATAGAAGATAACTTTTTTCAAGTGTAAAACTCTGGAATTAAGTTTTTTTTTTTTAACTTAAAAAAAAAACACTATAATATTTCTCTCTTCTAGAACAACTTCCTCCTGACACCTGATCTCCTTTGAATAGGCGGCCCAATTTTGGAGCTCATCTGGGGTCCTCATGGAGGCCCACCTTTCATAGTTGCCACACTAGGCCAAAATGGGAGGAGAGGAACTCCATCTTTCCACGAAGACCTGTGGTCAACCCTGCTTCACTATGGTCTGTAGGCACTATGCAAATTAAATAGAGGATCAGGACCAACACTTTTTTCATATTCTGCTTTATCATTACCCCAGCTGATTTTCTGCCACTTTTTTCCATCTAACAACGCTGGAGAGCTTTAAAACAGAAAACAATATGAAACGAAACGTCTGGCTCCCTCAGCCTGTCACACAGAGATACAATTCCCAGTTCCTGCTGTCAATGCTCAACCTTATCTCCACACCATCACCCCCAAAGAAAAATACAAAGGGTCCCCCAAGGTCCCATCTAAGTTGTCGCTGCTGCAGCTCCGGCTGTAACAACGGTAAAGGTTCTCCCTACACCCCCATTCCCCCTGCACTGCCGCTGCTGTGTCACCACTAAGGGTGCGAGCAGCTGCAGTCACCTGCAGCTGCATGGGGGTGGCAAAAATTATTTTTCCAGCACGTTTCCTTCTGCCATTTCATTTCAGGTAGAAAATGCCTTCTACTTTAACCAAGGTGTAAACCGCCCCCCTCCCCCCGCCCCCAGCCATCCACTCCCAGCTACCCTTTTCTAGGGTATGTGAAAAGAAACTGAGGGTGAAGACAAGTCCCTAGAAGGGCGCAAAGCCGACGGTGAGGGAGCTGTTGGTGTGGCTAGGAAGGAGGGCAGAAGATAAGGAAGCCGCGGGGACCGCAAGGTATGAGGCGCTGCAGCCGAACCTCGGCCCCCTGCACCTTCCGCCAGCTCGTTTTTGCCCGCCGGGTCCTAGCGCCGCCCGATGACGACCACCCAGCCACGCAACGAGCGGGGAACGAAAGGAAGGGTAGGAGGCTCCCATTGCAAGCAAGGCGCCGCAGTGGGTTGCTAATATTGGGACCTGCCGCAGCGGTAGCAGCGGGAGACCGCGGCCCTGCTGTCACCCCGGGGGCCCCCTTCTCACTGCAACCGGAAGAAAGACTGAGTAACCCTCCTGCCTCACCCTCCTCCCAACCCCCACTGCGCACAACCACCCACTCGGCTCCAGCCAAACGTGGATGAGTGGCAAAGCGGGGCGCTCAGCCCCCGCGGCCGGCTCCGGGGCCGACCCGCACTCCCTCCGCTCTGCGCCCCTTACCCCAGCTTGGGCCAGGGCTCCCCTCCCCTCACACCCAACACTAGGGGGCCTTTCCTTTGGCTGCACCCCCCACCCCAAGATAACGGTGCCGAGCGACTCAAAGGAGTTGAGATGTCACTTCCTTGACGACACTTTTCTCCAACCTCCAGGATAGGGGAACAGGGGCTCGTTTTTGTTTTATAGTCTCTTCAACTGCTGTATCTACAGTCCTCTTCCGATGATGACCCAGAACATACCCCTCGTGCTCTCCCACCCACTGACCCCACCATCCCACCCTGCATCCCTGCTCTCCCCGGGGGCAGAGTCTCTGAATGTGTAAAGACTCGACTGCGTGTGACAAACGTCCTATTCTAAAGGTGACTGCATCAAAAAAAAAAAAAAAAAAAGGCCCTAAAGGCCCCAAAACAGGAAAAAAAAAAAACAAAAAAAAAAAAAAAAGGCCCTGGGGGAGGGGCAGGAGAGACAGCGGAGGAGCCCGAACTCCAACAAACCATGACCCCTCCCCGCCGCCCAGGAGTGCGCCCGGAGCTCCGGCGAGGCGTCCTCACACAACAAAGCTCGCCTGCCGCCCGCGCCCCGCACGCACCCGGGCTCCCCCGGGCGGAGAGGACGGCGCGGAGCAGGGCCTGCAGGCTTCCTAGCTGCGATTCGGCGGCGAGTTAACAATAGCCCGCCGCCTGCGCCGCGGCCCTTTGTCCGCCCCTCTGCTTCCCCGCGGCTCCGGCTTCGCCAGCCCTGGGAACCCGATCAACTTCCCGGGTCCCGCGGAGCCCCCTGGCTCTCCGAGAGCCAGCGGTGCCCTTGTGAAGCAGGGGCCGAACCAGGATGAGACGCAGGGGACTCGGGGCCAGACCGCAGACTGTCCCTATCCGCGCCGCCAACTCTGCTACGGCGGCGCCCACCTCTGCGCTCCCACCCCGCAGATCGCCGCGCCCCGGCACGGCGCCGTCTGCCTCCTGGACGCACTCCCACACAAAGAGAGCCGAGACCCCAAATTTTGACCAAAAGCAAGCATCCGGCTCCCTAGACACGGCCAGAGGGTCTCGGCCCCCACTGCCGCGCTCCCCGCACCGTGGTGCCTGCAGCATCCGAGGCGGCATCCGCGGAGGCATCCGCAGCCGGTCAGAAAGGAAGCCCGAAACGGAGTGCGCTTAGGACCCCGCGGACCCAGTCCGGTGGCCGCCCAGTGCGCGCCGCGGCCCCGGCGGCCCCAGCCGGCACCTGCCGTACCCGCGCGCAGCAGGGCTCCGGGCTCTGGTTACGGTCTAGCCTCGGGGAGCGCACCGAGGCCGCGGGACCGATGCTTGTCGCCCTCGGCGGGGCGCTTCGCCCGACGCCCGAAGGGTGGTCTCTGCAGTCCTGGACAGATTTGCCCTCCCACACGCGTCCATCCACCGCCTGTTGTTCTGGTCTTAAACTCTAGGCACGGTGGCCGCCCTTGCAGCAGCCAGAGAGCAACAGCACTTTTAGTAAAGTTTAGTCTCCACTTTGCAACAACCAAAAGCTGCGTTTCCTTCTCTGGGGGAAAGAAGTTCTATTTCAACTGAATAATTGCAAAACCGAGAGCTACAACTTTTTTTTTTTTTTTTAATCCAGGGGTTGAAGAGAACTAGAGCAATTTGTACTGTCAGGTTCCCCTTAGGCTGAGCGGTGAGCAAAGGGAGAGAGAATCGTGGGCCTCGTGTATCTGGGACCATCCCCGCCTCAGGCCTGACTCCTCACCTTCACCAGACTTGCATCACCTACAGTCCCATGAAACTAAACGTACAGTTTAGATCGTGTTCAACATCTGGCATTAAAGCATGAAAAAGAAAAATCGCCACAGGACTGTTTTTTACAACCTAGTTTAAGTGTTGTCAGGTGGGTTCATTCAGAAGTTAACTCTTTCCAACAGTCTGGTGGCTTTTTTTTTTTTTTTTTTTTGGTAAAGAAGGAAAAAACTTGCGAGTCCCCAGTTGGAACTGTTACTCGACTTCATGCCTTTGGGGCTAAGGTTGCCCCCAGCAGGCACGTGTGTGCAGGCACTTAAAAGCGTATGGAATCACCAGCCCTGGAGTCCGCAGCCCTTGATGCTGAGTCACAAATACCACCCTCTGGAAGTGAAATCCTCAGAATGCCCTTTAAAATTAGCTCACAGCTTTTGCACACGCCACACACTCAAACCAGATAGTCACTCAGGAAACGCACACAGTGTTGCACACTATGGAAATGAAAGAGCATAGGTTATAACTCGATAGCTGGAAGGACAAATACTCGCGGGGAGAGTTCTGCCCCTTCAAAAGTCATTTTCCCCAAGCGTCTCTGCCCTGCTGTCTGCGCTGTCTAAAATATTACTTTAGTCCTTCTCCAACAGCACAATCAGCAACTTCCGCCTGTGGGGCTCACGGACCCTCACAATGGGGATAAACAGTACTCATAATTTACAATTCAAGCAGTACAGTTATTAGAGGGAAATGGGGAGGGATAAAATCTTAATTTGGGCACAAGATGATAACCTCTGCCTTCAGGGAACTGAATCAATTTTAAAGTTTTTAGTAGTTAATGATTAAAGCTTTAAACTCATGGAGTCAGTCCATTCAAAAGAAACTTCCTAAACAGATCTTCCCGTATATCTAATGCAAAAGAACCAAGTTGTGTTACATTTATAAATCATGCCATCTTCCCCCACCCACCACCCGCCCCATTAAAAAAAAAAAGAGGTCTTTCTATTCAGTGCCAGAGGCAGATCTGCAATTCCGGAGGCTTTTTTCCCCCCTCCTGAGCTGGAAGAGTGAGACAGACCTTGTCCGCATCCCCCGCCCAGCCACCACCTTCTTGGTAGTTATAATCCCGGACATTTCACAGCAAGGACACTAAAGGGTTAACGGTATACCTACCAAATCGGCTGTGGTCTTTCCTGGTTCCCTGGATAGTACCATTGGGGAAGATTTCTAAGTGAAATCCAGTCCTGCAGTATAGCTGCCTCCGCCTGAGAATCCCTTTTAAATGATCCAAGTCCGTGACTGCGGGTCCCCTGGGGAGCCCCCCTGCTTCGGACTGACCCAGATGGTCACTTAACAAAACCGGGCTGTCCGCCGGTAACACGGGCACATTCCCAAAAGGTACCGCATCCTGCACACCGAAATAGTTCCCAACTTCACCTAAGGGAGCCATCAGAAGACTCGGCTTTCGGAGCACAAGAATAAACAATAATGATGGTGTCAAACCCAGGAGATATTAGCGAGGTATATCCAACTCCCCTCCCTTACTGCAGTTGCAGAGAGAAGAAAAAAAAAAAATGTTCTTTTCTTCAATCCATTAAATGCATAAATAAAAGTAATATGCTGTTTTCACTGGCACAGGTTCAAGGTCAAACCACTGATAGTCTAAGAAACCACCACTTTATACTCACACACTGACATATTTATAAACATATCTATGTATCTCTACAGATAGATCCCCAGCTCTTAGCAGGCAGTAAGGTCTTCATCCCATCCAACCGTAATAAGGAAAAAAATCCGTAGTTTCTCCATTTGGTTTGAGATCACAATGACCATAGCAACTTAAATACCTAGGCGTTATTATAGGGATTTTTAAGATGCACGGGCTACGTCAGAATTTACGGATCCTGACTCCAGGAAGGCATGCGCTGTTTTTACTCTCTAACAGACTCTGCAGACATCAGCATGAATCCTTCAAGGGGAAAAAAAAAAATCCCACGTTGTTGGCGAAGACAAATCTCCCCTCCCGGTCCCCCCTCCAAAAATAATAATAATAAAACAAAAAAGAAAAAAAAAAACTTTAGGCGTCCAAAGCTAATATCCAGAATTCTTCAGAGAATCCGCAGATGTCCATTGGCTCAGAATGAGTGTGGAGCAGCGAGCAAAGGAGAGCCGCGTCCGGGACCTCTTGTGCCGCCCTTGCTGGCGTGAAACAGGTGTTGCCCGCGCCGGCTCGCGGGGAGTGTTGTACTCGGGCGGAGCGGCTGCTCCAGCGCATCCCCCGCCTGCACGCAGAGTGGCGCAGGAAGCGGCATTGGGCTGGGTTTAAGGTAGCACCGCGGCCGCCGCCAGCCTCCGCGCGGTCCTAGCGCCCTCCCCACTTTCTGCGGCAGCACAGCCCTCCCGCCTGACCTGGGGCTCGATCTCCGCCGGCTCCGTGCCGCTCTGCGGCAGTCTGGGCGGAGAGTGCCAAAGCGCAGCACTTCACAGGGATAACTGAGGAACTCTTACTTCAAAAGTAAAACGCAAATAAGAGATGAACAGGGAGGCAGGAGGCAGAAACCATGAGTCTCCTAGACTGAGAGTTTTCCTGCAGAATCGAAGCGGGTAACCTAAATTCTAGCTCGCTATGGGGATGTAACCGGGATATTGGTGAGGTTCGGGCTTAAATTGCGAAACTAGTTTTCACTTGGATTTTGCATTATAGAATACCGCGCAATGGAGAGCCTGGGCGGGAGGGGGGTTGATTTGCTGGGCTTGGATGGACTTGGCAGTTGCTGTTTCATTCTTCTGCCAGGCACACCGAAGCGTAAACTGTGTTGCAGGTAAGACAGACGGGGAAGAGCCCAGCCCAGTCTCTCGCTTGCTCGCTCGCTGCGGTTTTGTTCGGGCTCCTTGATGGGCATCTTCGGGGGACTGGGCGTTGGGGATATTTTGAGGTCCCTCCCCTGCCGCGGGCTCCCGCAGCGGCGCGGGCCGCAGGCGAGGCGCTAAAGAACTCCCTCGGTCCTCGCCTTCCACTCGCCCCCAGACTCGGGTGTGTGTCTTCAGGGAGCTGGGGGTGGAGGACGCTCAGTGGGTCTCCCTCTCCCCGCAAACCATGCTGTTTGGGGCCAGCCCTGCCTCGGCTCGCGCAGCTAAGGGCGCGCCTCAGCCTTTCCCCCGGTCCCTAGCGGAGGCGGGTGGCTGCGGGCGCGGAGCGGCCGCGAGCTGGTTGGGTGTCTCCTTCCTGCTCTGCCCAGCGGGGTCGCCCGTGGAAGCCTGCGGGCCGGAGCTCGGCACCGGACGGATTTCTGCACCCGGCCGGCGGCTGTGGGCACGCAGCCAGAGGCCGGGACAAAGAAAGCCGCAGGGTGGGCCGCCAAGGACCCTGCCCTGGCCCGCAGCGAAACCGGGCCCGGAGGCACGCACCGCGTTCCGGCCAGCTGCCTGGGCGCCCCGACTCCCCTAGCGGCGGTAGAGCGCGGAGCACCAGGGCGCCCCCCGACGCGCACAAGCACCCCGCAGCCCGTCCGCAAGCCCCTCGCGCCCGGCCCCTCTTTGTTCACATTGTCTTGTAAACTGCCCGGCTTTTGGGTCAAGAGGATGGAAGTTGTGGAGACGGAGGGCAGCTCCAGATTGCGGGGCGTGCGAGCAAGAAGCAAAGCCGAAAGCCGGAGATGAGCGCCTGCGGTGGGGAAGGAATCGGGGCCTTTTTGGGAGGGGAGAAGTTGAATCCGCCGTGGTAGTCTAGCCAAAGACTGGGACTGAGACATTGGAGCAGTCTCTTCTCCGGACGCCAGGGTTTCACCAGAAGATGAAAGGGAGCGATGAATTTGCAGATTTCCTGGGCGCTGGGGATGCCCGTGACCTGGAGCGACCTCTCCTCCTACCGTCCCCCCCGCCCCCAACTCCGGGTAGAAGGCGTGCTTGGGGCCAGGGCTGGAGGAGGAGAAAGGGGTGAGACGGTTCACCCACTTTCCACTTCCACACCCCTTTGCCGCAGTCTCGGGTCACTGAGTGTCCGAGGCTGCTTGCTGCGTGCGTCTTGCTTACGTTTTTATGAAGCGCAAGAGCCCTGCCCCGTGGTATTTACAACAGTCACGACAACGGTGGTACAGAGCGGGCTTTTAACATTAACTGTTCAGTGGCAGATAAAAGAAGCTGGGTGAGGAAGTGTCAGTTCTCATAAACCACCCGAACAGCTCACAGTAATCACCCGAGACAGCCAGTCCGCAGCTCTGGGGTAAGCGGGGAGTTACTGGACCACTTGGGCACAATGTGCCGGGTTGGTTACTTTTGAAAAAAACCTGATAGAAGAAAGAGAGACAGAGAGACGGAGACAAGGAGGCACTTGGTAAGGAAAGGGACGATCGGCATGTGGATGTTTCCGCTGAAGACAGGACTGGAACAGTTTCCACCCAGCTGTCTCCAACCACATTCTTTCGGTCTGAATTTAGCAAAAGATCATTTCTGCTTCTGAATCCTGCAACATCGGTGACTGTCACTTTAAAGAGTACTGCAGCAATGGGAGAGGGTGAAGTCGCTGATGAAGCACTTTCCCAGGTAGAGGCAGCCTCATCTGGGCATCTCTCTCCACTGCAGTTGGTTTAGTCCACATTTCATCTGCATCCCTAACTCCAACTTCAGGAAGCTTTTGCTGCCTTCTTGCCCCTTTGGCTTGCCCTTCAGGATTTCCCCTGCGCCTGTTTCGTCATTTTTACTCTTTTGGTAATTGAAACAGTGTCCTTCCTTTCACTGACCACATTGCATTTCTCTTGCATTCGCCGCACTTGCTGACTTTCTGAAGATCTTCTCACAGCTCTTTCCTGATAATGAGCTCATATGTGCAGGTCTATAGTATGTTTTACAACTATTCTGCAATGAGTGTATAGATGTGAAGTGCCAAGAGGACTAGGCCTTGCTGTCTAGAGGCACATGGTGTAATTGGGTTAATAACACCTGCCTTGGAAGTAGAGTTCCCATAGATTTCTGCCTATGGCTTAGTCAGCAAATACTATTGGTGATTTTAATCCCAAAAGGTTCTTAGACTATCTCTTCTCGAAACATTTTAATCCCTCTTGTTTTCCCTTATTCCCCTTACCTGTGTTTTCTATCAGGTTTGTCATTCTGTCTTTTCTGCTTTCAATGTAGTAATTAGGCCCAGATGGGAAAAAGTTCAAGAGAAGGAAAGAGGGACATAAAGTGGAATGAGCACTAGAACAGGAGTCAGCAGGCCTGGAATAAGGCTCCTCACCCCTCCATCTACTTACTGAGTGGTTTCTGGTCCCTTCCTCATCTGCCCCAGTCAGTTGCTGTGAATATCAATCCATGATACATGCATATAAAGTGGCTTGTCCTCTACAAATTTAAAGTGGCATTTGAAAAAGCCCTCCATTCACCTCCACTGCTTTGTTCACTAACATGGATCTCCTGTAATGTACAGCAATTTTTTTTTTCTGTTTTCTTGAGCCCCCAAATGCAAATCACTATAGAAACCTTTCATTCCTTTCCTACAGCAGTAACAGCGTAACTGTGCCTCTACCCTTCCATCCTCATTTCCTCTACTCCCCACCCCACAGTCTTTCAAGCTGGGTATGGACGTCGATATGCATAAGAGCTTTGGTTTGGAAACGTATAGCAGTATAGAGCAAAGAGGGCTGGCTTTGGGGTTGAAGTCTGTTCCCATTCTGGCCCCATGGGCTAGGTATGAACTTCAGCAGTAGGAAGACAGAAGTGTTGTAACCAACATTTACTAACCATGTTCCAACACAATACTAAGTGCTTTTTTAAAAATCTTCAAATCTACCTTATGGTGTAGATACTATTATTACTATTCCCATTTTACGGGTAGGAAACTGTGGCTTATAGAGATTAAATAACATGTCTATTGCCACAGTGCTAAAAAATGATGGAGCCAATTTCATTGACCCCGGACTCCCCATTGTGTAATACAGTCCTCTATTATAACATGCACATACTTTTAAAATTTACAATTCCATGAAATAAATATGCAGAAATAAATGGCTTATATACACATATATTTTAAAAAAAAACAGTTAAAAGACATAATGAAGGAAAAGACCCCAGTTACAATAGGAAATAGTATTGGTGGTTTCATGGTAGAATTCTCGCCTTCCATACAGGAGACCTAGGTTCGATTCCAGCCATTGCATCTCAGCGCAGCCACAACCCATCAGTCAGTGGAGGCTTGCATGTTGCTATGATGCTGAATGGGTTTCAGCAGAGCTATCAGACTAAGACAGACTAGGAAGAAAGGCCTGGTGACCTAATTCCAAAAATCAGCCAATGAAAACCCCATAGATCTCAACCAACAGATCCCAGTGTGCATGGGACCACTATGAATCAGGGGCCAACTCAAGGGCAGATAACAACAGTAGGAAAAAAAGAGAGAGAGAGATAAGATCCCTAGGAATAAAATTAACAAAAAATGCCAAGCTCTATATCAAGAAATATTTTAAAGCTCCCTAGGGATACAAAAGAAGACTTGAACAAATTGAAAATCATTCAATGTTCTTGGATAGAAAAATTCAAGTTCATAAATATGTCACTGTATCCTAAATTAATCCAAAAACATGATCTCAGGAAAGACACCAATAAGTTGTTTTTTTTTTTTAATTAGACACACTGATCCTAAAGTTAATAGTTTTAGTGAGTTTTTATACAACTGTAATACAAGTTTTAATAAATTAAAATTGACAAATTTTTGAAAGAATGATTAGGGGATAATTAGTCATCCAATCTTTTTAAATATTTTAAAGCTACAATAATTAACACAGAGTGGTATTAAAAACCCATTGTCCTAGAGTCAAATTCCAACTCCTAGCGACCCTATAGGACACAGTAGAACTGCTTCATAGGGTTTCCAATCTTTACGGAAGCAGACT